TATTGTGCAGCAAAGGTTATTATCAAGGAAACAATAAGGTTCATGCTTCATCGAAAACCTTAAACACAACAAAAACGATTACGTCACATCACACTGTGTTTATCAATTTAAATGTGTGTGTGGTCACACATACATAGGGAAAAGTAATCGTGATCTCAAAATTAGGATGTGTGAGCATGTACCTACATGGTTGCAGAACACAAATACAATCAAGTAATTCAATAAGAGTAGTGGATAAACATCCATCATCCTCTATGGCCAAACACATAATTGAAACAGGTCATAAGATTGATGTTAACTCAGCTTTTGTGGTGTTGTACAAAAGTGTAAAAAATGTCGTTTATTAAAAACTTAGCCATACGAACATTCAAACCCCCTTTGTGTATTTAAAACTTACCCTGGTAATATTAGTTTATTATCCAGAAGTGATGAGGTTCCAAATTGTTAAACAGAGCAAGAACAAAGATTGGTGCAGAATAATATGAATTCATTTTATTTCGTTAGGTTCTTATCAGCTTACTTCGGATCCGTTGGCCGGACACTATTAGCAACAACCTACTGTGGGAGAGAACAAACCAGACCCCAGCGGAGAAAGAAATTAGGAAGAAGCGATGGAAGTGGATAGGATACACATTGAGGAAAGCACCCAACTACGTCACAAGACAAGACCTCACATGGGATCCTCAAGGCCAAAGGAAAAGAGGAAGACCAAAGAACACATTACGCGGGGAAATGGAAATAGACATGAGAAAAATGAACAAGAATTGGATGGAACTAGAAAAGGCCCAGGACAGAGTGGGTTGGAGAATGCTGGTCGGCGGCCTATGCTCCATTGGGAGTAACAGGCGTAAGTAAGTCTCATCAGCTGCTTACAACCTAATTTTTTTTTAAAATTCAACATTATTACAGGTATTGACATACTTATACATAAGAGGGTGATTAAGGATGAATAAATGTATCATGGTGTAGCGAAGATTCCGACAGAGTTGAGATGGAAAGTTCCGGAACATTGAAATAGTGATTAGAACTCAAGAAAATAGATTAATGGTAATAAAGAAACTATATGAATTGAAATCAATCAGTTATGTATGATGTAATTTAAACTTCAGAAAGAGTTGGAATAATGAATGACGTAATAAATAAATAAATAAATAGAGAAATAAATGAATAAAAAGGAGGGGGTTATTGTTACCAGGGTAAAGAAAGATTTATTACAGTCTCTTTTTGTATACATAGATCTGGTATTAGACGTTTGATTGTTAATGCTTCGGCAAATTTCAAAAGGTTAGAGTTCGATAGTTTGTTAATCACCTTGAAGGACTTCAGTGTATCAACTTCGTGTCCTGTGTCAAGGAGATATTTTGCGATGGCACTGTTGAATGCTTTCAATCCATTTAATGTTAAACTTTTCGGAATATGTTCGTTCCAGTAGAAAGATTAAAAATGATTAATCGGTCTAAAGGTTAGAACAAATGTAGAACTGTCATAACAGATTAACTAAGATATATCTCGACAAAAAACGATGAGCAGATATTATTTCATCAATTTGCATCAGATCTAGTGTGTATGGAAACCAAATATAATATGCGTTATACCAATCCTATAATGTGTAGTGGCTTGACATTGACGTAATTCTTTAGGCTTCATTTAATAATCACCCTGATAACCGTTATTAAATAAATCTCAATGGTGTATCAATTCAGAAGGCAACAACACAAACAACCAACTACAGTTTATCATTTAGCCCTGATTACAAAATTACAAACAACGTACATCAAGTGAATTTAAGCAGAAAAAAACAATACGCAGGAGTAAACAAATACAGCGGCAAATCAATCAATAAGATTCAAGCACATATATATGGAAAACGAAAGATTGATCGAGCGATATTTAAGCGACCGACCGACCGACCGAGCGAGCGAGCGAGCGAGCGAGAGAGAGAGAGATGTACGTAGGCTGTCACATGTGATCAAGCCTACATGTATATTACAGACATGATAATAATAATAATACAAAGCAATAGACAAATTGTTACTTTTCAAATAACACTATCTATTAGACCAGTTAATTGAAAGGCTTGACAATATTAACCGTAAAGAAACTTGATTGTAGGATCGGTGCTACAATGTACCAAACGTATAACACTGAATTAAGTCGTTAATAATAATAATAATAGAAAAGAGTATTGTGGAGATTTTAGTAATTTAATAGTTGAATTCATGAGTCATGGATGCGTATTATTGAGGAGCCCCGTACTAGGATGAAACAGCCATCCAGTGCTTCCAGGTTTTCCATGGTGGTATAGCTTTAATTGACTGATGAATTCAACTATTAAATGATAATAATAATATCAATAATAATAATAATAATAATAATAGTAATAATAGAAATGAAGCGGTAAGACTGAAGAAAATGAACAGTAAAAGTAAGAGTATAATCAAGGGGAGAAAACTTAACAAGAATGATTTATAATAGATACAGTTCAGTTAAAACTCCTGCTTGATTGTTATTGGCATCTGTAATGACCCATGTCTATTAATTTTTCGAAACATTGACTTGCATCATCACTCGGACCCTAACCAGGATGTGCTTAATGAACTGACAGAAGCCAATCCTATACAGCTAACATTCATACCCAAGAAAATTTCATAGACTGACAAGTAAAAAATCAATTACATCGAAGATACTGAGATAAATTAATAAAACTCGACTAAGTTATAGAAGCTGCTGTTTCTAAATTATGAAAATAATCAGGTTCTCATGATAGAATCTGAAGACACATTATGAAACAACAATATCACAAACATGATACTGACACATGATATCTAAGATAACAACGGTGGAGCACTATGGAAAAATGTACAACCACAACTTGCGGAGGTCGGAAGTAAATACTGTTAAAACATCAAACTACTTAATTTTATTAAGTAACATAAACTTTACAAACAAAAGTGATAACGTATGACAATAGAAAAAAAATAAAAAAATAATGCAAATAGAAGGCATATTAAAACAATATACCTACACAATATGAAATGTATTAAAATATAACGAAACATAAAGCCTGAAAAATGAAGAAAACTTCAATGAAAAGACATCAAAAGAATCCGAAAAACCGGTGGAAAAATACAAAGGATTGTACAAAATTAGAAATGAAGATAATCACGAAAGCGGCGGAAGTGTGGCGAATATAATTCAGTAGACTAAGGATGTTGAACCTCGCTACCCATGTTTGATACATACTAAACACAAAGACCAGGAATTCCCTTCCTTGAAGTGAATTCCTAAAGGAAAATGGAAACAGACTGTTGGATTAATAATATTCTTCCTTGTCAACTTTTACTTCCTCAAAGGCTTTTAGTCCAAGCCTCTACTTACCCATACTCATCCCTCCCTATTAAACTTCAGCTTTGTAATCTAGTTTCTCCTAAAAGCAGTTCGAGGACTGGATTTGGCTGTGCTGCTTGAGAGCTAATTGCAAAGCTTTGTACATGAGTGTTTTCAGAATGTTACAGTTTTGCGGTTGATGTGATCAATCGCCCTAAATAAACATTAATAAGATTACCTTCTTCAGCCTTTTCACAGTGTGTTTGTACTGACTCCTGTTTGGGTATGTTGAACTGTTTGTGCTTTGAACGCACATGGGATAACGCTTTTAGCCACATAGTTCCTAACTCCGGCATTCTCACAGGGGTCTGTCTGCGGTTCTCACCTACCTCGTGATAAGTGCCAGGCATCTATGCCGGTCTAGTATACAAACATCATACTCACATCGCATGAGACAACTAGGAGTAGTTCGGTGTGGTACGGTTAGACTCGTTTCCAGCTAGTGTGTTCGTGTTGGACTACTTTCACTCTTCACGATAGCTGTTAGTAGCCGAGTGTGATCCTAAGGTATGGTTGTGTGGGTTTGTATAACGTTAGATTCGTGTCTGGTTTGCTGGCAACTTGGTTGGGATGACTCGAACGGGGTGAGCACTTGTGTTGGTCTCGTACTCCAATAGACCAAGGATGTTGAACCTGGCAACTCATGCTTGACAGATACGAACCACACTAATGGTCGCCTGACTCGTTCTTGTATGGACTTTGCACTATGAGGTGGCTGTATTGTGGCCAACCATCTCTGTTATGTTCATCGAATGGGCGTTGTGCGCGTCAGGATTACAAGGTTGTTGGGATGCTCTCCACATTGCCCAGAATTTTCTCATGCTTGAGACGGCCGTTAGCTGTACAGTGATTCACATTCAGTCGGCTACAACGCAGGACCAGGCACATGCATGCATCAGCCAAGATACCGTGCCTCATTAGCACAACAACATGAACAACAAATTCATATAAGCAATTACCTCAGTGGTAGTAATAAATAAAAAAGGTTGTGTATGAAAATATGATACGGGGAGAAAGAATGAGTTCGTTGAGAGGAAGATATAAAGTAAGTTTGATCTCAAGGTTTAAGGAAAGACGAAGTGTATACACCTACTTGGTTGTGGTCGATTCTGAGCCATGTCACCCAAAGTCTCCAACCATTGGTTATGATAGTCGCGCGGACCCCAACCAAGTAGTCTGCATTCACGAATGCGTGTGCGATGAGACTTTTCACGTTGTAGAAGTCTACCAAATTAGTTCACTACATTTCGCAATGATTCGTTTTGTCTTGGAAAGGCTCGTGGTAGTCGTGACTATCAAGGTCTCTCAGTTTGTGCAGTCTCCTTCCGAGTAAATTTATGGAAGGTGCTGTCGGCACGCGTTGATACGGAATGCTTCACGCATTGATAGCTCGGTTTGAACGTCGGTAGTCAGCTGAAAGAATTTGGCCCTGAGTTCATGGCCTCTCCTGTGTGCGGCAAATCTACAGTTGTAGAAGGTAAGAAAATGAGGGTAAATCAGATGTGAGGTAATCGTTAAGTGATGTGAAGACTGCGGTCAAGTCACCTCGTATTCTTCCGTATGATTCAGCTTTGTTAAGCGTCAGGCCATTTCGTCAGTTAATTTGGGTCTTTCTATAGCCCCGCGGTACCTCGTTCTCCTAGTATCTCTCTCCATGTGATGGTATTATCGGTATGTAGGAAGACTGATGATGATGATGATGATGATGATGATGATGATGATGATGATGATGATGATGATGATGATGATGATGATGATGATGATGATGATGATGATGATGATGATGATGATGATGATGATGATGATGATGATGATGATGATGATGATGATGATGATGATGATGATGATGATGATGATGATGATGATGATGATGATGATGATGATGATGATGATGATGATGATGATGATGATGATGATGATGATGATGATGATGATGATGATGATGATGATGATGATGATGATGATGATGATGATGATGATGATGATGATGATGATGATGATGATGATGATGATGATGATGATGATGATGATGATGATGATGATGATGATGATGATGATGATGATGATGATGATGATGATGATGATGATGATGATGATGATGATGATGATGATGATGATGATGATGATGATGATGATGATGATGATGATGATGATGATGATGATGATGATGATGATGATGATGATGATGATGATGATGATGATGATGATGATGATGATGATGATGATGATGATGATGATGATGATGATGATGATGATGATGATGATGATGATGATGATGATGATGATGATGATGATGATGATGATGATGATGATGATGATGATGATGATGATGATGATGATGATGATGATGATGATGATGATGATGATGATGATGATGATGATGATGATGATGATGATGATGATGATGATGATGATGATGATGATGATGATGATGATGATGATGATGATGATGATGATGATGATGATGATGATGATGATGATGATGATGATGATGATGATGATGATGATGATGATGATGATGATGATGATGATGATGATGATGATGATGATGATGATGATGATGATGATGATGATGATGATGATGATGATGATGATGATGATGATGATGATGATGATGATGATGATGATGATGATGATGATGATGATGATGATGATGATGATGATGATGATGATGATGATGATGATGATGATGATGATGATGATGATGATGATGATGATGATGATGATGATGATGATGATGATGATGATGATGATGATGATGATGATGATGATGATGATGATGATGATGATGATGATGATGATGATGATGATGATGATGATGATGATGATGATGATGATGATGATGATGATGATGATGATGATGATGATGATGATGATGATGATGATGATGATGATGATGATGATGATGATGATGATGATGATGATGATGATGATGATGATGATGATGATGATGATGATGATGATGATGATGATGATGATGATGATGATGATGATGATGATGATGATGATGATGATGATGATGATGATGATGATGATGATGATGATGATGATGATGATGATGATGATGATGATGATGATGATGATGATGATGATGATGATGATGATGATGATGATGATGATGATGATGATGATGATGATGATGATGATGATGATGATGATGATGATGATGATGATGATGATGATGATGATGATGATGATGATGATGATGATGATGATGATGATGATGATGATGATGATGATGATGATGATGATGATGATGATGATGATGATGATGATGATGATGATGATGATGATGATGATGATGATGATGATGATGATGATGATGATGATGATGATGATGATGATGATGATGATGATGATGATGATGATGATGATGATGATGATGATGATGATGATGATGATGATGATGATGATGATGATGATGATGATGATGATGATGATGATGATGATGATGATGATGATGATGATGATGATGATGATGATGATGATGATGATGATGATGATGATGATGATGATGATGATGATGATGATGATGATGATGATGATGATGATGATGATGATGATGATGATGATGATGATGATGATGATGATGATGATGATGATGATGATGATGATGATGATGATGATGATGATGATGATGATGATGATGATGATGATGATGATGATGATGATGATGATGATGATGATGATGATGATGATGATGATGATGATGATGATGATGATGATGATGATGATGATGATGATGATGATGATGATGATGATGATGATGATGATGATGATGATGATGATGATGATGATGATGATGATGATGATGATGATGATGATGATGATGATGATGATGATGATGATGATGATGATGATGATGATGATGATGATGATGATGATGATGATGATGATGATGATGATGATGATGATGATGATGATGATGATGATGATGATGATGATGATGATGATGATGATGATGATGATGATGATGATGATGATGATGATGATGATGATGATGATGATGATGATGATGATGATGATGATGATGATGATGATGATGATGATGATGATGATGATGATGATGATGATGATGATGATGATGATGATGATGATGATGATGATGATGATGATGATGATGATGATGATGATGATGATGATGATGATGATGATGATGATGATGATGATGATGATGATGATGATGATGATGATGATGATGATGATGATGATGATGATGATGATGATGATGATGATGATGATGATGATGATGATGATGATGATGATGATGATGATGATGATGATGATGATGATGATGATGATGATGATGATGATGATGATGATGATGATGGAAAATACTGGCCGAGTCACTTACGTGTAAAACAAGTATTCCTGGCTCTGTGAGTGTCCTGAGGAACACTGATACGCACTGTTTTTCAGCCAGTCAGCGTAGAATCAATGCATAGTACCTATCCACACCCAACGGGAAGGTTGTTCAACCATGACGGAAACCGCCCACCACCCATATGTCCCCTTATTTATACAGTAATCTGGTATCTAGGATTTGGTGATGGCGTATCCACTCGTCCAATACTATCGTCGCAGCCAATTACTTATGTGGCAATTTCACATTAGTACTATCACAACTTGCCAATTCAGACGTTGCTCTAGGGAATAGTCTATCTTGAAGACAAACGTAACGAGTGTTCGTCATCTCAAAAACAAACCATTTCATGGTCAGAACTCAATATTTGTAGGTTCACCCTTTCATCCTCATTCGTTTAGAGATAACGTCAATTGCGGAATGATGGTGATCATTTTGTTTTCGAACGGATTCGGTCACGTGACTGAAGACCACAAAAATAATCTGCAAGACAGCAGTGACTGAGAAAAGCTTGTTAGTGTTCGCCACTACAATGAGTCATTCATTTTGGTCGTTTCACACCGAATGTTTAAATGGTTCAAATGGTTGTGGACGGAATAGAAGAAGCTTTCGCTTAACGGGCTTCCGTGTCATGTAGCAGTGGATCACCAATACCTCCAGACAGGACCCCAGGCATGTTAACGATAATAGAGAAAAAATTGGTAAATCATAGTAAGATATTATCCCTAGTCCTTAAGAACAGGTCAAGTTGCCTTTTAAAGTACTCCTGAGAAGTCTCTTAAACTAGCTGAGCATTTGAAAACTCTTAAGGAGTAGAATTTGTGTCTAAAGTCCATTCTCCTGTGTTGTGTCTCTAGTTTATGGGCACTACCCCTTAAGTTTGTGTTGGAGCTAAACTTGAGTAGGTGTTTAAGAGGATGTCCAGAAGTGTTAAGGACACTGTAGGCCATTAGAAGGTCACCTCGAAGACGCCTATACTCTAGTGAGTAAAGGTTTAGTGATTGAAGGCGCTCTTCATAAGGCTTGAATTCGAGTCCCCGAACTGATTTCGTGGCTCGCCATTGGATACGCTCCAGAGGGTCCTTATCCTTTTGGAGTGAGGGAGGAAATTCTATGCTTCCGCATCCTAAATGAGGACGAATAAAACTGTTGAAGATTATGTGGAACGTCCTACCGTCGAACTGGCCAAAAATGCGCTTCAATATTACCAGTATAGGGTTTGCTAGAAAGGCATTTTTGTCACAGTTAGCGTAAGACTTAAGATCTCAGGGTACCAGCCTCCTAAATCTTTTTCAGCTTGGGAGTGCTGGTACCCTACGATGTCAACCTAAACACTTAAGGAAACGGTACCAAACTGTACAGACCTCACATATAGATTAATTATTGAGGGATTATAGTCAGCATGCAATCGGCCATTGCATCGAGTGCCTACTAACTCTTGTGGGCCACCGCCCATTGACTGTTGAATTGTGATAGTGCATCCCGCAATTTTCTCGTCTGAAATCACTTCTTAGTTAATGAGGACCGTAAGAACCATCAACAAATAGTACCGACCGCCTCTTACTGTTCAATTGTCTTTGACTGGTGATTGCTGTGTTTTGCTGGATGAGGACACACCATTTCCGTTCCTCTGCGATGATCATGTTGACTGTCCGCTCGCAGTGTGTTTTTTAGTTATGGCTGGTGTTGACCACGCCTATCAGTACTCTGTGGAAGTGAAGAGCAGGTTCTCACTGTTCCTGGACGATACTCTGAATAGTGAAGACCCGGATATCCTGCTATTCAAGTTACTGAGTAAAAGAAGTGAAAAGACTAAAAAGGATAAGTCACATGTGCAACAGCAACATGTGGCACCTGCAAAGGTCGAAACGACAACTAAGAGTGAGGTGAAGGTTGAGACTCCAGCTCCGAAAGGTAAGCAAATGTGCATTATTAGCTATTTAAGTTGGTTCTCGAGTGTCGAAAACCACCAACGTCACAGAGCCGCCACCAGTGCCACCTGAAGACGTACAAATCACATCCACAAAGGGGACAGATGAATCGATTAGTGCCTTTGTGCGTGGTCGTGGTTCAGGTAGAGGAACACCTCGAGGGATGCGTGTAGGCAGAGGACAAGGGCCTCGAATGGCTCCGACAGAAGCACCTCAAGATTCAGTGAGTGATTTGAATGCTACCAGGTAAGCTTGTTGTGATCTCAGTGGTTACTTACAAGAGGGCCAAGTTTCGAGCCTAGAGGACGTGGGAGAGGTAGAGGAAGAGCAATGTTTGGTCGAGGTCGTGGGATGCCATTCAATTCGAACCGAGACTTCGACAATCAGGATGGTCCAGATCGTCAGTAAGTGGTTTTTACCCAAATAATTTTGTAATGATGAACTGTTATCCCTGTCCTATGCAATGCGGAAACACAGTCTGATGCATGTTTAGGCTTACATAACTCGGTTAACAATAGCCTTTTATTCTGTAGGGGCCCAAGACAATATGGTCGAAGAGATGGAAATTGGAATGCTCAGGATGTTGATGGTCAAACAATGCCTGAGAGTGGTGACTCGGAGCAAGTTGTTCGTTTCTCAGACGATCGTAACGAAGTCGAGGACCAGTCAGAGCATGCCACAGCGGATAATGAGGAGGGTGTGGTTGCCCTTGAAGTAACCCTCGTGCTATTGATAGAAGAAACCAGACAAGTAGTGAATAGGTCTTTATTTCGATCTTCGGGCAGTCAGAGTGGAGCGTGGGATTATCTGTTCAGACAAACAAATGTTCTCAACATTCAATATAAGATAATAGGGAATATAACGCTTATAAAAAATAAGGAAGTGAATGAATACTTGAACAATACTGTTTTGGCATAAGCTTGGTTGTTTGGGATCAACCTTAACCAACCAACCTGAGCTGTTACATGCCAACGCAGAAACCCCAGCTGAGGAAGAACCGAAAAGCTACACATTGGAAGAATACAAGGCCATGCGCCAGTCTTCCAAACCAGCCATCTTACTGAACAACAAAGGTCTACGCAAAGCTAATGATGGCAAAGATGTGTTTGCAAACATGGTGGCCCACAGAAAAATACAGGAGGTCCACGAGGATGTCTACGAGGTGGAGGAGAAGGAAAACGAGCCTGAGGTATGTTTCGTTTTTATGTATTTACACTAGATTCGATATAGGAGCATCAGTCGATCGACATTGATTTTTCTTTCGCTGACAACTTTGGAAGCCGTAGAAGAGGTGGGCGAGGATTTGAAGGCAGAGGGTTCGATCGTGGGCGTGGTGTTACACGCGGTGCGGGACCAAGAAGTGAACGTGGGGGTCGAGGAAGAGGTCAGATGAGGAGTGACGGGCGGGGTCGTGGTTTCGGCCGTGTTCTGCCTATTAACGATCACATTCCACCCCCAGCAATTTACAACGACCAGGAGTTCCCTTCCTTGAAGTGAATTCCTAAAGGAAAATGGAAACAGACTGTTGGATTAATAATATTCTTCCTTGTCAACTTTTACTTCCTCAAAGGCTTTTAGTCCAAGCCTCTACTTACCCATACTCATCCCTCCCTATTAAACTTCAGCTTTGTAATCTAGTTTCTCCTAAAAGCAGTTCGAGGACTGGATTTGGCTGTGCTGCTTGAGAGCTAATTGCAAAGCTTTGTACATGAGTGTTTTCAGAATGTTACAGTTTTGCGGTTGATGTGATCAATCGCCCTAAATAAACATTAATAAGATTACCTTCTTCAGCCTTTTCACAGTGTGTTTGTACTGACTCCTGTTTGGGTATGTTGAACTGTTTGTGCTTTGAACGCACATGGGATAACGCTTTTAGCCACATAGTTCCTAACTCCGGCATTCTCACAGGGGTCTGTCTGCGGTTCTCACCTACCTCGTGATAAGTGCCAGGCATCTATGCCGGTCTAGTATACAAACATCATACTCACATCGCATGAGACAACTAGGAGTAGTTCGGTGTGGTACGGTTAGACTCGTTTCCAGCTAGTGTGTTCGTGTTGGACTACTTTCACTCTTCACGATAGCTGTTAGTAGCCGAGTGTGATCCTAAGGTATGGTTGTGTGGGTTTGTATAACGTTAGATTCGTGTCTGGTTTGCTGGCAACTTGGTTGGGATGACTCGAACGGGGTGAGCACTTGTGTTGGTCTCGTACTCCAATAGACCAAGGATGTTGAACCTGGCAACTCATGCTTGACAGATACGAACCACACTAATGGTCGCCTGACTCGTTCTTGTATGGACTTTGCACTATGAGGTGGCTGTATTGTGGCCAACCATCTCTGTTATGTTCATCGAATGGGCGTTGTGCGCGTCAGGATTACAAGGTTGTTGGGATGCTCTCCACATTGCCCAGAATTTTCTCATGCTTGAGACGGCCGTTAGCTGTACAGTGATTCACATTCAGTCGGCTACAACGCAGGACCAGGCACATGCATGCATCAGCCAAGATACCGTGCCTCATTAGCACAACAACATGAACAACAAATTCATATAAGCAATTACCTCAGTGGTAGTAATAAATAAAAAAAGGTTGTGTATGAAAATATGATACGGGGAGAAAGAATGAGTTCGTTGAGAGGAAGATATAAAGTAAGTTTGATCTCAAGGTTTAAGGAAAGACGAAGTGTATACACCTACTTGGTTGTGGTCGATTCTGAGCCATGTCACCCAAAGTCTCCAACCATTGGTTATGATAGTCGCGCGGACCCCAACCAAGTAGTCTGCATTCACGAATGCGTGTGCGATGAGACTTTTCACGTTGTAGAAGTCTACCAAATTAGTTCACTACATTTCGCAATGATTCGTTTTGTCTTGGAAAGGCTCGTGGTAGTCGTGACTATCAAGGTCTCTCAGTTTGTGCAGTCTCCTTCCGAGTAAATTTATGGAAGGTGCTGTCGGCACGCGTTGATACGGAATGCTTCACGCATTGATAGCTCGGTTTGAACGTCGGTAGTCAGCTGAAAGAATTTGGCCCTGAGTTCATGGCCTCTCCTGTGTGCGGCAAATCTACAGTTGTAGAAGGTAAGAAAATGAGGGTAAATCAGATGTGAGGTAATCGTTAAGTGATGTGAAGACTGCGGTCAGGTCACCTCGTATTCTTCCGTATGATTCAGCTTTGTTAAGCGTCAGGCCATTTCGTCAGTTAATTTGGGTCTTTCTATAGCCCCGCGGTACCTCGTTCTCCTAGTATCTCTCTCCATGTGATGGTATTATCGGTATGTAGGAAGACTGATGATGATGATGATGATGATGATGATGATGATGATGATGATGATGATGATGATGATGATGATGATGATGAGGAAAATACTGGACGAGTCACTTACGTGTAAAACAAGTATTCCTGGCTCTGAGAGTGTCCTGAGGAACACTGATACGCACTGTTTTTCAGCCAGTCAGCGTAGAATCAATGCATAGTACCTATCCACACCCAACGGGAAGGTTGTTCAACCATGACGGAAACCGCCCACCACCCATATGTCCCCTTATTTATACAGTAATCTGGTATCTAGGATTTGGTGATGGCGTATCCACTCGTCCAATACTATCGTCGCAGCCAATTACTTATGTGGCAATTTCACATTAGTACTATCACAACTTGCCAATTCAGACGTTGCTCTAGGGAATAGTCTATCTTGAAGACAAACGTAACGAGTGTTCGTCATCTCAAAAACAAACCATTTCATGGTCAGAACTCAATATTTGTAGGTTCACCCTTTCATCCTCATTCGTTTAGAGATAACGTCAATTGCGGAATGATGGTGATCATTTTGTTTTCGAACGGATTCGGTCACGTGACTGAAGACCACAAAAATAATCTGCAAGACAGCAGTGACTGAGAAAAGCTTGTTAGTGTTCGCCACTACAATGAGTCATTCATTTTGGTCGTTTCACACCGAATGTTTAAATGGTTCAAATGGTTGTGGACGGAATAGAAGAAGCTTTCGCTTAACGGGCTTCCGTGTCATGTAGCAGTGGATCACCAATACCTCCAGACAGGACCCCAGGCATGTTAACGATAATAGAGAAAAAATTGGTAAATCATAGTAAGATATTATCCCTAGTCCTTAAGAACAGGTCAAGTTGCCTTTTAAAGTACTCCTGAGAAGTCTCTTAAACTAGCTGAGCATTTGAAAACTCTTAAGGAGTAGAATTTGTGTCTAAAGTCCATTCTCCTGTGTTGTGTCTCTAGTTTATGGGCACTACCCCTTAAGTTTGTGTTGGAGCTAAACTTGAGTAGGTGTTTAAGAGGATGTCCAGAAGTGTTAAGGACACTGTAGGCCATTAGAAGGTCACCTCGAAGACGCCTATACTCTAGTGAGTAAAGGTTTAGTGATTGAAGGCGCTCTTCATAAGGCTTGAATTCGAGTCCCCGAACTGATTTCGTGGCTCGCCATTGGATACGCTCCAGAGGGTCCTTATCCTTTTGGAGTGAGGGAGGAAATTCTATGCTTCCGCATCCTAAATGAGGACGAATAAAACTGTTGAAGATTATGTGGAACGTCCTACCGTCGAACTGGCCAAAAATGCGCTTCAATATTACCAGTATAGGGTTTGCTAGAAAGGCATTTTTGTCACAGTTAGCGTAAGACTTAAGATCTCAGGGTACCAGCCTCCTAAATCTTTTTCAGCTTGGGAGTGCTGGTACCCTACGATGTCAACCTAAACACTTAAGGAAACGGTACCAAACTGTACAGACCTCACATATAGATTAATTATTGAGGGATTATAGTCAGCATGCAATCGGCCATTGCATCGAGTGCCTACTAACTCTTGTGGGCCACCGCCCATTGACTGTTGAATTGTGATAGTGCATCCCGCAATTTTCTCGTCTGAAATCACTTCTTAGTTAATGAGGACCGTAAGAACCATCAACAAATAGTACCGACCGCCTCTTACTGTTCAATTGTCTTTGACTGGTGATTGCTGTGTTTTGCTGGATGAGGACACACCATTTCCGTTCCTCTGCGATGATCATGTTGACTGTCCGCTCGCAGTGTGTTTTTTAGTTATGGCTGGTGTTGACCACGCCTATCAGTACTCTGTGGAAGTGAAGAGCAGGTTCTCACTGTTCCTGGACGATACTCTGAATAGTGAAGACCCGGATATCCTGCTATCCAAGTTACTGAGTAAAAGAAGTGAAAAGACTAAAAAGGATAAGTCACATGTGCAACAGCAACATGTGGCACCTGCAAAGGTCGAAACGACAACTAAGAGTGAGGTGAAGGTTGAGACTGCAGCTCCGAAAGGTAAGCAAATGTGCATTATTAGCTATTTAAGTTGGTTCTCGAGTGTCGAAAACCACCAACGTCACAGAGCCGCCACCAGTGCCACCTGAAGACGTACAAATCACATCCACAAAGGGGACAGATGAATCGATTAGTGCCTTTGTGCGTGGTCGTGGTTCAGGTAGAGGAACACCTCGAGGGATGCGTGTAGGCAGAGGACAAGGGCCTCGAATGGCTCCGACAGAAGCACCTCAAGATTCAGTGAGTGATTTGAATGCTACCAGGTAAGCTTGTTGTGATCTCAGTGGTTACTTACAAGAGGGCCAAGTTTCGAGCCTAGAGGACGTGGGAGAGGTAGAGGAAGAGCAATGTTTGGTCGAGGTCGTGGGATGCCATTCAATTCGAACCGAGACTTCGACAATCAGGATGGTCCAGATCGTCAGTAAGTGGTTTTTACCCAAATAATTTTGTAATGATGAACTGTTATCCCTGTCCTATGCAATGCGGAAACACAGTCTGATGCATGTTTAGGCTTACATAACTCGGTTAACAATAGCCTTTTATTCTGTAGGGGCCCAAGACAATATGGTCGAAGAGATGGAAATTGGAATGCTCAGGATGTTGATGGTCAAACAATGCCTGAGAGTGGTGACTCGGAGCAAGTTGTTCGTTTCTCAGACGATCGTAACGAAGTCGAGGACCAGTCAGAGCATGCCACAGCGGATAATGAGGAGGGTGTGGTTGCCCTTGAAGTAACCCTCGTGCTATTGATAGAAGAAACCAGACAAGTAGTGAATAGGTCTTTATTTCGATCTTCGGGCAGTCAGAGTGGAGCGTGGGATTATCTGTTCAGACAAACAAATGTTCTCAACATTCAATATAAGATAATAGGGAATATAACGCTTATAAAAAATAAGGAAGTGAATGAATACTTGAACAATACTGTTTTGGCATAAGCTTGGTTGTTTGGGATCAACCTTAACCAACCAACCTGAGCTGTTACATGCCAACGCAGAAACCCCAGCTGAGGAAGAACCGAAAAGCTACACATTGGAAGAATACAAGGCCATGCGCCAGTCTTCCAAACCAGCCATCTTACTGAACAACAAAGGTCTACGCAAAGCTAATGATGGCAAAGATGTGTTTGCAAACATGGTGGCCCACAGAAAAATACAGGAGGTCCACGAGGATGTCTACGAGGTGGAGGAGAAGGAAAACGAGCCTGAGGTATGTTTCGTTTTTATGTATTTACACTAGATTCGATATAGGAGCATCAGTCGATCGACATTGATTTTTCTTTCGCTGACAACTTTGGAAGCCGTAGAAGAGGTGGGCGAGGATTTGAAGGCAGAGGGTTCGATCGTGGGCGTGGTGTTACACGCGGTGCGGGACCAAGAAGTGAACGTGGGGGTCGAGGAAGAGGTCAGATGAGGAGTGACGGGCGGGGTCGTGGTTTCGGCCGTGTTCTGCCTATTAACGATCACATTCCACCCCCAGCAATTTACAACGACCAGGAGTTCCCTTCCTTGAAGTGAATTCCTAAAGGAAAATGGAAACAGACTGTTGGATTAATAATATTCTTCCTTGTCAACTTTTACTTCCTCAAAGGCTTTTAGTCCAAGCCTCTACTTACCCATACTCATCCCTCCCTATTAAACTTCAGCTTTGTAATCTAGTTTCTCCTAAAAGCAGTTCGAGGACTGGATTTGGCTGTGCTGCTTGAGAGCTAATTGCAAAGCTTTGTACATGAGTGTTTTCAGAATGTTACAGTTTTGCGGTTGATGTGATCAATCGCCCTAAATAAACATTAATAAGATTACCTTCTTCAGCCTTTTCACAGTGTGTTTGTACTGACTCCTGTTTGGGTATGTTGAACTGTTTGTGCTTTGAACGCACATGGGATAACGCTTTTAGCCACATAGTTCCTAACTCCGGCATTCTCACAGGGGTCTGTCTGCGGTTCTCACCTACCTCGTGATAAGTGCCAGGCATCTATGCCGGTCTAGTATACAAACATCATACTCACATCGCATGAGACAACTAGGAGTAGTTCGGTGTGGTACGGTTAGACTCGTTTCCAGCTAGTGTGTTCGTGTTGGACTACTTTCACTCTTCACGATAGCTGTTAGTAGCCGAGTGTGATCCTAAGGTATGGTTGTGTGGGTTTGTATAACGTTAGATTCGTGTCTGGTTTGCTGGCAACTTGGTTGGGATGACTCGAACGGGGTGAGCACTTGTGTTGGTCTCGTACTCCAATAGACCAAGGATGTTGAACCTGGCAACTCATGCTTGACAGATACGAACCACACTAATGGTCGCCTGACTCGTTCTTGTATGGACTTTGCACTATGAGGTGGCTGTATTGTGGCCAACCATCTCTGTTATGTTCATCGAATGGGCGTTGTGCGCGTCAGGATTACAAGGTTGTTGGGATGCTCTCCACATTGCCCAGAATTTTCTCATGCTTGAGACGGCCGTTAGCTGTACAGTGATTCACATTCAGTCGGCTACAACGCAGGACCAGGCACATGCATGCATCAGCCAAGATACCGTGCCTCATTAGCACAACAACATGAACAACAAATTCATATAAGCAATTACCTCAGTGGTAGTAATAAATAAAAAAAGGTTGTGTATGAAAATATGATACGGGGAGAAAGAATGAGTTCGTTGAGAGGAAGATATAAAGTAAGTTTGATCTCAAGGTTTAAGGAAAGACGAAGTGTATACACCTACTTGGTTGTGGTCGATTCTGAGCCATGTCACCCAAAGTCTCCAACCATTGGTTATGATAGTCGCGCGGACCCCAACCAAGTAGTCTGCATTCACGAATGCGTGTGCGATGAGACTTTTCACGTTGTAGAAGTCTACCAAATTAGTTCACTACATTTCGCAATGATTCGTTTTGTCTTGGAAAGGCTCGTGGTAGTCGTGACTATCAAGGTCTCTCAGTTTGTGCAGTCTCCTTCCGAGTAAATTTATGGAAGGTGCTGTCGGCACGCGTTGATACGGAATGCTTCACGCATTGATAGCTCGGTTTGAACGTCGGTAGTCAGCTGAAAGAATTTGGCCCTGAGTTCATGGCCTCTCCTGTGTGCGGCAAATCTACAGTTGTAGAAGGTAAGAAAATGAGGGTAAATCAGATGTGAGGTAATCGTTAAGTGATGTGAAGACTGCGGTCAGGTCACCTCGTATTCTTCCGTATGATTCAGCTTTGTTAAGCGTCAGGCCATTTCGTCAGTTAATTTGGGTCTTTCTATAGCCCCGCGGTACCTCGTTCTCCTAGTATCTCTCTCCATGTGATGGTATTATCGGTATGTAGGAAGACTGATGATGATGATGATGATGATGATGATGATGATGATGATGATGATGATGGAAAATACTGGACGAGTCACTTACGTGTAAAACAAGTATTCCTGGCTCTGAGAGTGTCCTGAGGAACACTGATACGCACTGTTTTTCAGCCAGTCAGCGTAGAATCAATGCATAGTACCTATCCACACCCAACGGGAAGGTTGTTCAACCATGACGGAAACCGCCCACCACCCATATGTCCCCTTATTTATACAGTAATCTGGTATCTAGGATTTGGTGATGGCGTATCCACTCGTCCAATACTATCGTCGCAGCCAATTACTTATGTGGCAATTTCACATTAGTACTATCACAACTTGCCAATTCAGACGTTGCTCTAGGGAATAGTCTATCTTGAAGACAAACGTAACGAGTGTTCGTCATCTCAAAAACAAACCATTTCATGGTCAGAACTCAATATTTGTAGGTTCACCCTTTCATCCTCATTCGTTTAGAGATAACGTCAATTGCGGAATGATGGTGATCATTTTGTTTTCGAACGGATTCGGTCACGTGACTGAAGACCACAAAAATAATCTGCAAGACAGCAGTGACTGAGAAAAGCTTGTTAGTGTTCGCCACTACAATGAGTCATTCATTTTGGTCGTTTCACACCGAATGTTTAAATGGTTCAAATGGTTGTGGACGGAATAGAAGAAGCTTTCGCTTAACGGGCTTCCGTGTCATGTAGCAGTGGATCACCAATACCTCCAGACAGGACCCCAGGCATGTTAACGATAATAGAGAAAAAATTGGTAAATCATAGTAAGATATTATCCCTAGTCCTTAAGAACAGGTCAAGTTGCCTTTTAAAGTACTCCTGAGAAGTCTCTTAAACTAGCTGAGCATTTGAAAACTCTTAAGGAGTAGAATTTGTGTCTAAAGTCCATTCTCCTGTGTTGTGTCTCTAGTTTATGGGCACTACCCCTTAAGTTTGTGTTGGAGCTAAACTTGAGTAGGTGTTTAAGAGGATGTCCAGAAGTGTTAAGGACACTGTAGGCCATTAGAAGGTCACCTCGAAGACGCCTATACTCTAGTGAGTAAAGGTTTAGTGATTGAAGGCGCTCTTCATAAGGCTTGAATTCGAGTCCCCGAACTGATTTCGTGGCTCGCCATTGGATACGCTCCAGAGGGTCCTTATCCTTTTGGAGTGAGGGAGGAAATTCTATGCTTCCGCATCCTAAATGAGGACGAATAAAACTGTTGAAGATTATGTGGAACGTCCTACCGTCGAACTGGCCAAAAATGCGCTTCAATATTACCAGTATAGGGTTTGCTAGAAAGGCATTTTTGTCACAGTTAGCGTAAGACTTAAGATCTCAGGGTACCAGCCTCCTAAATCTTTTTCAGCTTGGGAGTGCTGGTACCCTACGATGTCAACCTAAACACTTAAGGAAACGGTACCAAACTGTACAGACCTCACATATAGATTAATTATTGAGGGATTATAGTCAGCATGCAATCGGCCATTGCATCGAGTGCCTACTAACTCTTGTGGGCCACCGCCCATTGACTGTTGAATTGTGATAGTGCATCCCGCAATTTTCTCGTCTGAAATCACTTCTTAGTTAATGAGGACCGTAAGAACCATCAACAAATAGTACCGACCGCCTCTTACTGTTCAATTGTCTTTGACTGGTGATTGCTGTGTTTTGCTGGATGAGGACACACCATTTCCGTTCCTCTGCGATGATCATGTTGACTGTCCGCTCGCAGTGTGTTTTTTAGTTATGGCTGGTGTTGACCACGCCTATCAGTACTCTGTGGAAGTGAAGAGCAGGTTCTCACTGTTCCTGGACGATACTCTGAATAGTGAAGACCCGGATATCCTGCTATCCAAGTTACTGAGTAAAAGAAGTGAAAAGACTAAAAAGGATAAGTCACATGTGCAACAGCAACATGTGGCACCTGCAAAGGTCGAAACGACAACTAAGAGTGAGGTGAAGGTTGAGACTGCAGCTCCGAAAGGTAAGCAAATGTGCATTATTAGCTATTTAAGTTGGTTCTCGAGTGTCGAAAACCACCAACGTCACAGAGCCGCCACCAGTGCCACCTGAAGACGTACAAATCACATCCACAAAGGGGACAGATGAATCGATTAGTGCCTTTGTGCGTGGTCGTGGTTCAGGTAGAGGAACACCTCGAGGGATGCGTGTAGGCAGAGGACAAGGGCCTCGAATGGCTCCGACAGAAGCACCTCAAGATTCAGTGAGTGATTTGAATGCTACCAGGTAAGCTTGTTGTGATCTCAGTGGTTACTTACAAGAGGGCCAAGTTTCGAGCCTAGAGGACGTGGGAGAGGTAGAGGAAGAGCAATGTTTGGTCGAGGTCGTGGGATGCCATTCAATTCGAACCGAGACTTCGACAATCAGGATGGTCCAGATCGTCAGTAAGTGGTTTTTACCCAAATAATTTTGTAATGATGAACTGTTATCCCTGTCCTATGCAATGCGGAAACACAGTCTGATGCATGTTTAGGCTTACATAACTCGGTTAACAATAGCCTTTTATTCTGTAGGGGCCCAAGACAATATGGTCGAAGAGATGGAAATTGGAATGCTCAGGATGTTGATGGTCAAACAATGCCTGAGAGTGGTGACTCGGAGCAAGTTGTTCGTTTCTCAGACGATCGTAACGAAGTCGAGGACCAGTCAGAGCATGCCACAGCGGATAATGAGGAGGGTGTGGTTGCCAACGCAGAAACCCCAGTTGAGGAAGAACCGAAAAGCTACACATTGGAAGAATACAAGGCCATGCGCCAGTCTTCCAAACCAGCCATCTTACTGAACAACAAAGGTCTACGCAAAGCTAATGATGGCAAAGATGTGTTTGCAAACATGGTGGCCCACAGAAAAATACAGGAGGTCCACGAGGATGTCTACGAGGTGGAGGAGAAGGAAAACGAGCCTGAGGTATGTTTCGTTTTTATGTATTTACACTAGATTCGATATAGGAGCATCAGTCGATCGACATTGATTTTTCTTTCGCTGACAACTTTGGAAGCCGTAGAAGAGGTGGGCGAGGATTTGAAGGCAGAGGGTTCGATCGTGGGCGTGGTGTTACACGCGGTGCGGGACCAAGAAGTGAACGTGGGGGTCGAGGAAGAGGTCAGATGAGGAGTGACGGGCGGGGTCGTGGTTTCGGCCGTGTTCTGCCTATTAACGATCACATTCCACCCCCAGCAATTTACAACGACCAGGAGTTCCCTTCCTTGAAGTGAATTCCTAAAGGAAAATGGAAACAGACTGTTGGACTAATAATATTCTTCCTTGTCAACTTTTACTTCCTCAAAGGCTTTTAGTCCAAGCCTCTACTTACCCATACTCATCCCTCCCTATTAAACTTCAGCTTTGTAATCTAGTTTCTCCTAAAAGCAGTTCGAGGACTGGATTTGGCTGTGCTGCTTGAGAGCTAATTGCAAAGCTTTGTACATGAGTGTTTTCAGAATGTTACAGTTTTGCGGTTGATGTGATCAATCGCCCTAAATAAACATTAATAAGATTACCTTCTTCAGCCTTTTCACAGTGTGTTTGTACTGACTCCTGTTTGGGTATGTTGAACTGTTTGTGCTTTGAACGCACATGGGATAACGCTTTTAGCCACATAGTTCCTAACTCCGGCATTCTCACAGGGGTCTGTCTGCGGTTCTCACCTACCTCGTGATAAGTGCCAGGCATCTATGCCGGTCTAGTATACAAACATCATACTCACATCGCATGAGACAACTAGGAGTAGTTCGGTGTGGTACGGTTAGACTCGTTTCCAGCTAGTGTGTTCGTGTTGGACTACTTTCACTCTTCACGATAGCTGTTAGTAGCCGAGTGTGATCCTAAGGTATGGTTGTGTGGGTTTGTATAACGTTAGATTCGTGTCTGGTTTGCTGGCAACTTGGTTGGGATGACTCGAACGGGGTGAGCACTTGTGTTGGTCTCGTACTCCAATAGACCAAGGATGTTGAACCTGGCAACTCATGCTTGACAGATACGAACCACACTAATGGTCGCCTGACTCGTTCTTGTATGGACTTTGCACTATGAGTTGGCTGTATTGTGGCCAACCATCTCTGTTATGTTCATCGAATGGGCGTTGTGCGCGTCAGGATTACAAGGTTGTTGGGATGCTCTCCACATTGCCCAGAATTTTCTCATGCTTGAGACGGCCGTTAGCTGTACAGTGATTCACATTCAGTCGGCTACAACGCAGGACCAGGCACATGCATGCATCAGCCAAGATACCGTGCCTCATTAGCACAACAACATGAACAACAAATTCATATAAGCAATTACCTCAGTGGTAGTAATAAATAAAAAAAGGTTGTGTATGAAAATATGATACGGGGAGAAAGAATGAGTTCGTTGAGAGGAAGATATAAAGTAAGTTTGATCTCAAGGTTTAAGGAAAGACGAAGTGTATACACCTACTTGGTTGTGGTCGATTCTGAGCCATGTCACCCAAAGTCTCCAACCATTGGTTATGATAGTCGCGCGGACCCCAACCAAGTAGTCTGCATTCACGAATGCGTGTGCGATGAGACTTTTCACGTTGTAGAAGTCTACCAAATTAGTTCACTACATTTCGCAATGATTCGTTTTGTCTTGGAAAGGCTCGTGGTAGTCGTGACTATCAAGGTCTCTCAGTTTGTGCAGTCTCCTTCCGAGTAAATTTATGGAAGGTGCTGTCGGCACGCGTTGATACGGAATGCTTCACGCATTGATAGCTCGGTTTGAACGTCGGTAGTCAGCTGAAAGAATTTGGCCCTGAGTTCATGGCCTCTCCTGTGTGCGGCAAATCTACAGTTGTAGAAGGTAAGAAAATGAGGGTAAATCAGATGTGAGGTAATCGTTAAGTGATGTGAAGACTGCGGTCAGGTCACCTCGTATTCTTCCGTATGATTCAGCTTTGTTAAGCGTCAGGCCATTTCGTCAGTTAATTTGGGTCTTTCTATAGCCCCGCGGTACCTCGTTCTCCTAGTATCTCTCTCCATGTGATGGTATTATCGGTATGTAGGAAGACTGATGATGATGATGGAAAATACTGGACGAGTCACTTACGTGTAAAACAAGTATTCCTGGCTCTGAGAGTGTCCTGAGGAACACTGATACGCACTGTTTTTCAGCCAGTCAGCGTAGAATCAATGCATAGTACCTATCCACACCCAACGGGAAGGTTGTTCAACCATGACGGAAACCGCCCTCCACACAAGTCTCCTTCCGATTAAGTGTATGTAGGGTGCAATCGGCTCGCGTTCATGTCATTTTGTTCACGTAAATATTTTCATTCTTAGTACTTGCATTAAGCGTCGCGTTTTGTGGATACATTAATGTTTGTTAAATATACGTCTTATTCTTTTTCAGTGTAAATATTGTTGAATAAATTCTCCCAACGTCACCATCTAATCATCAACATATAGGTAAAATTCTACCTAGCACTTGCATTTTGTATAAATCTAGGACACTGATTACTATGAAACTTCATAGGTAATCTCGTTGTTCTGAAGTTTTCTACTCGATAGTTATATTGTAGTTGTGATAGACAAAATCATAATTTCAGTAGAGGTGTTTCTCATTTTTCCTGAGTATCCTCCATTAGCGTTATAATTTTAGTGGATCGGTTTCGTGAGTGGACAGGTCGTATATAAAAGTATACCGGCAGCTTTTTTAAAATATATTCAACCCCGTAGTGTAACCGTGTTAACTATTAGATTAGCTGTTATGTAGTTTCTATGCAGTCTTAGCCCCATGAAATACTTTTTTAACTTACAGAAGAGTAACCAATGAAAGTATGTCTCTATATGAATCGTACTTTTGCATATTATTGTATGTTGTCTGAAAAATTTATATGGTATACGTTGTGATGGTGAGTATGATTTGTGGCCGGACAAATTATCTATTTACTCATAATAAGATAGATATAATTTATTTATTTGAACACATGAAAATTGGTAAAATGGTGCACCAAATATATATGCGTCACACAAAACAATGAGAATTTGAAGAGAAGAAAAAAAGGACAATAACGAACAGATTTGTGTAAGGTAGTGTAATAATAATAATGATGGGGGAAACAGAAACGTAGACTCAGAAGAGATCTTTCAGTTAAGGAAGAAGCAACCACTTTTTATGAAGAAAGTAGAAGAAGGTTACAGTAGGATCGCCACTGGCTTCTATTCTGAGCCATATCAGATAACGTCTCTAGCCACTGTGTCGCACCATTTCTAGGACCCCAATCAGGGAGTCGCGAGGGACCAACACAAGCCAGCCCTTTGCGGCGTCCTTTCATCCCACGACACCATGTCATACACTGACCACCTCTCCGCTTTTTCCAACCAGTCCCAGCGTCGGCGAATAATGCACGACGTGTAATTCTCTGGGACGACATTCGTAGAACATGTCCAAGCCACCGAAGTCGGTGTTTCAAGATGGTGATATCGATTGCATTATCGTCTCTGTGCCCGAACACACACCTTCATTCAGCATTCTACTAACTGAAAGATATTTGCAGTAGATAAGATGTATGTGTTCTTGGTATTCTTGTAAATTGTTCAACTGCACTGTCATACACATTCCTATTATCTCTAGTATTTTTCGTGTTGCTCGCATCTTTAGTTTCAAAACCTTAATTTTCCTAGGACTTTAGTAATTTGTTAAGAGAATATTGGAATTCCCCACATTTCCAAATAATCTGTATGCTGTTACCATTTTTTGCAGTATTAACCGCTTTTTTACTCAACATGAGATTATACTAGGAAAACAGTTTCAGGCAATTCTTTGTAGCTCGTTTCTCATAATTATGTATCAAGCTTATCATACATTAAACCTCTGTATTTTTAAAATCGCAAATCTGATTGTTATTTCAATAAAGTACAATGGTGGTTAAATTTGTCTGGTGTCACTGATTCCATACTAACAGGTTTTGTAACCGACATGACACGGTTGACTATCGATAAAGAACATGAACAGATAACACGGCATACTGTTGAAATATTAGGTAGCATCATATTTTCACTGCCTAGGGTGTTTTACTCTATTTCTTCACAATCATAGGGCCTACCAATGTTTGTTAAAATAAGTTAAATTAATGATTTGTGATCAGTTAATCACAGCACAGCACAGAGATGCAGTTGTCGATTCAAATCCCATAGCGGTAGAGGTAGTAAGAGTATAAGCAGTAATCGGAAGCATTTAAGACAGTTTTCCAATAATAAATCTGTATACAATGAACTTGTTTGTATATGTAACGAATGCGTGTTTAGTTTACATTTATCTAGTTCGCCAAATATGATATTCTAGTCTTTGATTTTAATTCCTAAGTTTAATTACTTGTGAAATCAGACAACTCTTCATGTTTAAAATTAAGACCCAATTATAGTAGTAAATACTTTACGACCCCTATAGAATGCTCAATAAGCTTTATTACATTTCCGTATTACTGATCAACATTTAATGAAAATCAAGCAAACTTGTCTTTTAATAGTCTCTGTACTCGGTATTCAGTCACGAACTGACATGTTCGAAGCCTGCCTCGTCCACCTCGGCTTGACAAATCGAGTATAAATATCACAAAACCTAACATAAAATAGGACTGATGGTAGCCTGATCGGTAAATTTCTATTTGCTTACTGAGATAAAATGTCTCTGGTATTAATTTTTGTTGATTTATGTGCAGTAATTAAGTTTGTAGTAGGTGTCGAGTCCCGATTGACTACAAGTTGGTTGTCAAAGACGCGACTTAAGTTCATGGCGGGTAGTCGATTTTTCAATCTGAGCCGTGTCAAGAACTTTTGATTCCAATCACCACGATGACGACAGTCTGTAGTTGTTGTTCAGTGTTAGAACTTGAGATTTGTTACAGTAAAGAAAAATATTCTTGTCTTCCACGAAGTTTAATTTCTTATAAGGGATCTTATGTTTTTGATTAGTTGACATAATTGTCTGTGATTCGAACATTGGGTTGTGTCCAGTTTGAGATGGTGGAGAAGATTTGTAGCTCAGGTGGATGATTTTGATGGAGTTTTGTTCTCTGAGCTGGATGGTTTGGTCGTGGAGCTTTCATCGTTCTTCTGAACGACATCATCAGCACAAACTTCAGATAGACTTCTATCTGAAGAGAACAAAACTCCATCAAAATGTGTCCAGTTTACATATTCTGAGATGATCAATAAAAAAGAAGCCGGTCGGTCTTAGGTTATGTCTAACTTAACGTATAAACATCAGTTCAAGC